TCAGCAGGAACAGGTTGCCCAAGACTGTGTCCAGATAGGTTTTTAGCATCTCCACAGGAGACTTCACAACCTCTGTGGGCAACCTACTCCAGTCTTTGACCACCTTTCATAAGAAAAAAATGTGTTTTCTTGCATTCAAATGAAGTTCCACGCATTTTACTTTGTGCCACTGCCTCTTGTCCAGTCAGCAGGCACCACTGAAAACAGCCTGGCTGCTGCTTCTTCATTCCCTCCTACCAATTATTTATACATATTGATGAAACACCACCCTCCCCCCCCCGTCCTCTGCTTCAGGCTGAACAGTCCCAGCTCTTGCAACCTCTCCTCATACGACAGATGCTGCAGTCCCTTAATCATCTTTGCAGCTCTTGCTCCAACTTCTGTAGTCTCTTGCAATTCAGTTCATGCTCCAAGCCCAGCATCAAAAACTTCTCTTCTACAGTTTTTCACAAAATTCAAGCATATTTCTCAAACTTAGTTATATTTCAATGGGGAAGAGAGCTCACTCTAATTATACTGTTATAAAATACTATTGCCAAATGCATTCAGGGATTGCAGCTCACTGCATATGGCTGATTAAGGATCAGACCAGTAGCACAGACTGCATTTTACAAGTCATCAACAGCAGCCCTATGATAAGCTTAAAAAAATCAGCCAGTTTCTGCTGAGTAGAGCTAGACAGCTTTGTACCCTGCCCCTAACTTTGTGGATTTTGGTGCTGGTTCCCAATCCCAATAATTCCTCACGGAAGATAATCTTAGTTTAAACCTAACCTGGAAACATCTAAAATACACAGCAACCCTGGTTTACTTTTCCAAATTCATATTTCTCATTCCCAGAACATGCACAATGTTATTTATATATGCAAATTAGTAGTTGTATGAGAAAGAACACAGAATTGCACATCTCATCGTAGAGGTGGATAGATTTTGAAAGGATTTCAGACATCCCTTCAGGGAATAAGCCGGACAATACAGCATTAGTGCTTTCTGTTCGGTTAGCACAAAACGAAAAAGCCATTGCCTTCTACTTATATACAAAAACTGCAAAGCATGTTCAAGGAATTCCATCGTTTTCTGCTTGCACCCAGTTGCTGGGTATCCTTTTGTTCTGCAGAGAGAACTGTAAGAGGGCAGAAGGCAGAGCAGTCACTCTGCTATGCTGAGCTCAAGTTCACTTTCCTATAGGAACCCTGTAGTCATGCTACTCTTGCCCCATGAAAATCTCTCACCATACAGATTAGCATAATGTTATCACCTTATCTCATGAGACTGCACTCTCACCAGCAGGAAGCAAATGATCTACAACATGACGTTAGCACTCTACCTTACTGCTTGATAAATTAATATTTGGTTACATATTCTGGTATCCATGGACATTTTCATTCTGTTAGAAGAGCAGAAATTACACAAATGCACTCTAAAGAGTCAGGTAAAGGGGTAAAAGAGCAAGTTAATTGCTGTTTAATTTGCGCAACAGAGAAATTATAAACGGGTATTACGAAAGGAACTTGGTATCTCTTTATTACTTAAATACGAGCTGTATGACACAAACAAGAATACCTACCCACAACTTAATCTTTTAAATAACAAGCAGCAGCACAGGAAAGAAACCCTGCATTTTTATCAGACAGTTGCTTCTTTGGTAATCTCTAAGCTTTTCAGTTCTAAAAGATGAGGAGATTTCACACCTGCAGATATTATTTTCATCCCAATTCAGGATAAAAGCTATTTTCAAAACCTTGGAAGTTTCTTGAATTAGTTAAATTACCTTCCAGAAAAGTTATGGATCACTTGTATTACTATCCCACCATTTCTAAAAGCTAAGTTTTCAGGCCTCCTCAGAATAAACAGGACACTTACCTTCCCTTCCCCTTCTCCCACTAAAAAAAAATTCCTTTAGTAGCCTTCCTAAGAAGAGGCAAGGACTAGATTCTTTTTCTATAGCCAAAATTCAGGAAACTGGCTCAGGTCCCAAAGCTGCTCAGAACAGCAGCACACACCAATCTTTAAAGACAGCCTATAGGATCAGAGAGAATTCAATAAGATAGGCAAGGGCAATTTCATGGAAGGAAGGTCTGTCCATACATTTCACTAAAAACACAGCTGTAACTCCAGATGATGGGAGGCAGCAACTCCTAAACTCAAGCACAAGCATCTAAAGCAAGAGTGCCTAAGGTCTCATGAATACTTAGAAAAGAAGGTACTGAAGAGGGATCATGCGGCTGAAAGAAGGGATCCCCTGACCTTTCAGTTACATAGCAGCCTTTGACACACAAAATAACAATGCAAAAGGAAAGGTGACTTGTATTAGCCATTCAATGTATTTGTTCTCTCTGGATTGTAAAGGCAGATTGTGCTTTCAATTTGTACTGAAGGCAGATTAAGGAGAGGAATAAAGAGGAAAGGAAAGTAGACAGGAAAAAGAATGTAAGTTTTAAAGACTGTGTCAAATTCAAATTACAATCCATAAGAAAAGTGTGGGATGAATGAATTGATCAAGTTATAAAATCGTACCGGTACTTGATACAGCTGGAAGAGGTCCTACAGTGGACCTCTCCCCACCCTGCAACGCACCAACACTGTTTGCTAAAATGATTTTGAAATTGTACCTCACTGATTCACACTGAATTTTCAGTATACTAGGAATACATTCAAGTAACCTTGGCAAGTAACAGCAATCATTTAAGCTATTGCAAAAATTGGGCAAACCTCCTCTTTTTAAAAAGTCGCATATGTGACTGCTCTTTCATTTGAAATGCAAAGGAGAAGCATAAATTACTTTGCACATTTTTGGCAGAATTACTCCATGAAACAGCTGCTCCCGCTATACCAACTCTTAAAATACTATGGAGCAGATGTTCCTCAGAGAGAGGTTTCACAGAACAGTTGAGGTTGGAAGGGACCTCTGGAAGTCATCTGGCCCAACCCCCTCCTGCTCAAGCAGGGCCAGTGAGAGCCGTTTGCCGAAAACCATGCCTAGACATGAAATCTCTAAGGATGGAAACTCCACAACCCCTTTGGACAACATTTCCAGTGTTCAACCACTCTCACAGTAAAAACTGATTTCTTGTGTTCAGACTGAATTTCATGTGTTTTCATTTGAGCCCATCATCTCTTGTCCTGTCACAGGAAGCCACAAAAAAGAGCCTGGCTCCCTCCTCTCTGCACCTCCCCTTCAGATATTTCCATACACTGATAAGATCTTGCAAAGGGTCCAATACTGAATTATTCAGGTCTATGCAGTGCAGATTAGCACATACTATTCTATTTCTTGGGGACATTCTTACAAAAGGTGATACTGTTAGGAAAAAGTTAATTTTTTCTTTTTAATTGGGCACTTTAAAAAAAAAAAAAAACCAGAGCAGTGTAAATACTAGAATAATGAAAATGTAGCTGTCTCATGGAATCAACTGTATCTAGAATGAAGACTAAACTTTTGAATGAATGAAGGTGGTCTATGTGAGACTACAAGTGATTTTCCTGCAAGTGAAGACAACAGGTCAACTAGTCTTGCTTTTAATTCCTGATTGTCAACATCATCTCTTAAACGAAAATAAATAAAAAGCAACATTTTCTACTAAGATTAACTGAAGAATATACTTGCTGAGGAGTCAGATACTGCTCTGATTCTCTTAGGACAAAAGTTGAACACAACAGGTTTCACAAGTATTTTCTAGAAAGGTTTTCCTTGACATTAATCTGTAACAGATGAAGCTCCACAAATTACTTTTATTCCAGGAACAGGGTTTGTGAAGGAAAGGTAATGGTGCATATCTCAAGCAATTAAAGAAAAGCTACAGGCTCCCAATAACGTCATCCTTAACTAACAAGAAGGGGAAATTTATGAACCTAGAATAAGCCTTGAATTTGATTACAAATAGCATAAAGATCTTAATTTTATGTTGTTGCAATGAAATTTTCATAGAAGAAAAAGATGGATGGTATTCAGCTCCAAAAGACACCTTAGCTACACCCCAGTACTGAAGACAGCTGCTGTCCACACCTGGTTTCACTGTGCAAAACTGTGCCAAGTTATTTATGACCAAGCCCACACCATTGCAACACCAGAGGAAGAGGAAACTGCACAGGTCTCAACAAACCCCAGCGGAATAAAGGCCCTTTCCGACAACCATAATTGCTGCTAAACCTTTGCTAAAATGTAAAAATCAGCTAAAAGTACAGGGACAACAAGGGTTCAGAAGCTCCGGCTGGTAAAGTGAACTACAGAGGGGAGAAGGTGGTTATTTAAATCAGAAACCTCTAGAAAGCCATAGTTACAGCAGTGTAGTGCCACCTCCGGAAAAACCATTTGACTTTACGAGGAAACGTGCTCCAGAAAGTCTGGTGTGTATGGCTTACCAGATGGCTTAATTAATACTTCTCAAACATGTCTGCACCTCTTCAGAAAGTTGTGAGAGGTGTGCCAAATAGTTATTTAAAAAATTAATGGTGCTGGCACCTTTAGCTGTAAACACAGGTCAGCTTTGAAATAATACTTCAATAGGTCTGTGGTAGAAAATGAAATAAACATACCCATTTTATATACATTTTCTTTCAAAAAACAAAGTCTTGTCAAACAAAACGAAAGCCAACCCAATACAGAGATTTTTTCTATTCAAACAGAAAAGCAGCTATGCATCAGGAACAGGATGAAACCCACTGTCACCGCTGACATGAATATAATTGCTCACCAACTTTTTTACACTGCCTGCAAGCACTGGAAGTGATGAATTA